CACTCAGAGTGCAACTTCAACGTATATCGTTTCACTCAGAGTGCAACTTCAACGAGTGAGGCAGATTGAGGCTGGCATATTGCATGAGGCTCCCGAGCTTGGAAGAGTGATTTGGATGAAGATAGAGGCACAAATATCAGATCATTGCAGTGACAAGAAGAATTGGGTGAGCTCTGCTCAACCCTGGAACACTAATGTTAGCTGTCCTGAATCTGATATCAAGACCCAAGACCCAAAACTGGATTTGGAAGCTATAAGAAGAGGATGGTTCTGCAACTAAGAACCCATTTCAGTTATGTAAATTGAGGAGTAGAGGGGCATTTGTGCCTTTTAATGGACAGTCTACTCAGGCAATGAAGGGAAAAGAGAAGGTTTTACCGGTTTATGATCCATTTTTTTTTTTTTTTTTTTTTTTTTTTTTTTTGGGGATTATTAACATATAAATGGTACTAATGACCTATATTTATTATTTAATGGAGTCAAAGTCTCATAGTTTTGAAAAATGAAGACATGAAAAAATACTATTTACCACTTTTAGGTACATAGATACCTTTTTTTATACATGCAGGTAATACTTTTTGTCATTATGTACCACTTTTTATTTTGCACAAAAAAGTGCTACCAATACACAAAAAGTGGTACCCATGTGCACAAAAAGTGGTACCTCTGTTCCCAAAACAAAAGTGGTACCTATATGCCCAAAACAAAAGTGGTACCTGATGCACAAAAAGTGATACCTCCGTGCGCAACAGTATTTTTTCATGTCCATGTCAGCATTTTGGTCAAATTCATTTTTTTCAAAACTACAAGACTATGACTTTATTAAATAATAAATATGGGTCATTAGCACCATTTATATATAATATTTCCTTTTATTTTCTTTTTTTTTTTTTAACCAGTTAGGGTTTTATCGATATGAATTTGGATGTACGCCCAAACTAGCTGTGTTTTGGCATTGGAGACAGCACAAAATATGTCACAGAACAAACCCCAAAAACAACATTAACAGAATAAACAAAGGCATTGCTGGTCTCCGGAGTTGCATAGACGATTCAACAATGCAATCGAACAGCTTGGAGGATCAAAAAGTTAAAAGCCTCTTATAACTTAAAAGTCAAAACTAAACTCTACTGTTACATACTTGCATAAAGACTATGTGCTTGTTTATATAAATTTATATAGTGCAACTCCAGTAAGTACTTGAGAGGGATTAGACGCCAATCCAAGCTAAATTTAAGATATAAAACTCTCAACTCAAACCCGGGCGCAGGTTATATTCTTTCTTCCTATTTGAATATAAGATCGATGGATGCCATCTTTTGCCCCTAATTACCCTCAACTTGTGTCACATCCCTCTTCATCGGTGAAGCTATTGACAAATCATTTACTTAGTAGATTTTATCTCATTTAAAGCTAGTTTTGTTTCTACATTAGGGATATAATCAACAAAATAATATGAACAAAATCACTAAAAAAATGCTCCTCCTCGATCTGCTACTCAATTTACCTAACAAAATAGGTTTTTAGTTGTTGTCTCTCTGTCATCAATCATCAAATACATAAAATAAAATAAAATTTTGCTTGAAAAATTATAAACATCACAATTTTTATTTTTTTACTTCTCTTTTTTTTTTTATTATTATTTTTTTTTTTTGGAATTTTTTTTTAATCTTGAATGAAAGAATAACGACTCAATATTTTTTTGTTTTCTTGTTATTCAAGGAATTTTGCTTTAACTAGCTAGTATTTGTGTTTTTACACACGCACACACACACAAGCATATACATATCAGTTCTTACAGATTTCAAGTCCAGTTTTGGATCTTGGCTCTTGATATTAAATTCATGACCGCTAACATTAGCATTCAAGGGTTGATCACAACTCATCAATTCTTTCTGTCACTTCAACCGTTTGACATCTTTGCGCCTCAATCTTCAACCAAATTGCCCTTCAATGGCAGGAATTCTATCAGTACTGGTGAAACATCCCTTTCCTTGCACTGCATTATCTCCTTCTTCAATCTCTCACAAGCTGCAAATGGCCCAAATAAATAAATAAATCACATGTATATGTGTGTGTATATATACAAACCAGAGAGAAAGAGAGAGATTTTAGAGAGAAACAAAACGCACCATCGTTTAAAAGAAGCATGCAGAGAGGTAGTTCATGTTTCAATCCCTCTATCTTTTTCATCTCATCTTCTAACAGACGAACATTATGATTAAGCTTTGATGTTTTTTCAGAAACATCATTGATCATAGATATTTCTGTTAGAAGGTAGGAGATGATCTTAGGGACATGAAGAGGAGCATCGGCTGCCATTTTCTGCTTTCTGATCTCTCTAAGATTTTATTCTCTCTGTATTTTGTTTTCTAAGATAAGAAGAAGGTGATTCAGAAAATGAAGAGTTGGTGCTTTTAAACTCACTCATCTTTACGTTACTTCATACACATCTTACCCGGCGTTTGTGGGCATATTTGTCTTTTTGTAAACATGGTCAACAGATAGCATGTCTTTGGTTATATGTCATTTTTACCCCTGTATGTGTCCCTTCTTTTTTATTTTTTTTAATCCACCTCAAAAAGAAAGTAAAAAAATAAAAAGATAAAGATAAAGATAAAAATAAGGAAAAAAAAAAAAAAATAGTAAGGCATATTGATATATCACTTATCATTAAATGTTGAATACTAAAAATTTTAAAAAATATTTAATTTTTAATTATCACATAAAAATACTTAATTTTCCAATTTTATCAAGCATATGTAGATAGAAATTCATAAGATTGGAAAATGAATAGTCCCCTTTTTTAAATAATTAATTATCTGAATTAAGTTTGATAAATCATGAGCCTAAAACAGAGAAAGGGGCAAATATTTTTAAAGAAAAATCAAGCCTGAGGTGTCCTTTTTTACAATTACATCCTTCAACGAACTGTTTTTGTCTTGTATTAAGCATTTCTACTTTTGGAACCTATTGCAGATTACTGTAATCAGATTTTTAAAGACTTTCAGGCTTTGTAACCACTGGTTTAAATGCAAACCAGTACATACCTAGCAAAAACATACAAAAAGGTTGAGAGTATGGGACACTGACATTGCCTGACATCTTGGAATATTAAATGACGATGAAAAATATAGATTGATGATTTTCTTAATAGACTTGGAAGATTAAATAAGCATTTATTTGAATTATTATTATTATTATTTTTTCTGTTTGACAAGATTTAATTCTTGTGATTGTTTGACCTTATTCATTAAAAAAATTGAGTATTATCATTAATTTTACACGAGGACCACACAACTCCTTTTATTTGAAAAAATTAAACTAATTCAGATAATTGGCGCACAGCATAATTGGGAGGATAGAAATCACTTCACAAAAAGTGAGGTCCGCTTCCCTTATCAAAATTCATAATCGGAAAGGACATTCAAGATTGTTGTGGCTGTTCGACCTTATTCATTACGAAAAAAAAAAAAAATGAACCTTATTTAATTTTCACATGATTTCTCACTTTAGAAAGTTAAACTTAATCTGGATCATCATCAATGCACCGGTCCACAGTGCACTTGGGAGGATAGAGATTACCTCACCGGATGTGAGGTCCACTCCCCGTGCATTAGATTCATTTTAAAGTTGGATAGGGGATTTATTCCCCATTTAGTTCAGACTTCACCATTTTATTACATTAAATCAATAAAATTACAAATACATATGAATTCAGGGGCAGAGTCAGAATTTTATTTCGGGAGCACAATGCACTTATTAAAAAAAAAAAAATCAACGTGTGACCAATATAATTTTTTTAAATTAGAAGACAAATAAGAATAAAATAGTTATAAAATAATATGATAAGTAAATAGTACTGTAAAAAAAATATACTTACAAATATAAGAATCAAAATATTGATTAATAATATTTTAATTAAATATAATCACAAACGTCAACAATAAAAAGAAAGAAGAGGAAAAAATGGCCCAATACATGATTCTATACAAGTGAAAAAAGAAATTTTTATGAAAAAGGAAACAAAAATTAGAAAAGAAAAAGTATATGGTGTATTTGAAGAAGGGAGATATATGTCACTTTTTTTCTTTTTCTTTTTTTTTTTCAAAAGAAAATTAGAGGAATTTGAAAATTAAAATTACATATAAATATATGTATATAAAAAAAATATATACCTATGTATAGCAAGTTAGAGCAATGACAAAGCTCTTCTGGGCCATATTATTTTATAACCTTGGATTTTATTTTATTGAAATATTATAAAACTATCCATGTACTAACTGCGTTATTTATAAATATATTCATATTCTGATGCAGACCTGAAATTAAGGTGCCGGTCAGAAATCACTTTTATGGGGCATAATTTCTATTTGCTCCATTTCATCTCTTAAATATAAGAATTTTTTTCACATGCATCAGCCTCTAAACTGTGCCAAGTAACTTCGAAAAAATCACATGATGTTTGGTGTAATTAGAGTACTGGGACATCGGTGTAATTAGAGTACTGTCCCATGATAGTTAAGGATTTCAGAGAGCGAGTAGGCAACATGCGAGTTAGGCAACATCACCCAATATATTAAGACGCTTATTACAAGTGGTATTAGAGCAGACTCAATATAAAATTTACTGATTTTCATTTTGACCATCTATGTATATATAATTGCAATTCACTCTTATCAGATAGATATAGAAAAGATGATGATGAATGACACATTATTCTCAATCTAACAATTTACTTTTTGTCTAAAATTGGATACATAAGAGTAGGGTTGCAACTCGGGCGGGTTGGGCAGGTTGGACACTTAACTCGGACTCAGCACAACATACAAATCTTCAGCCCAGACCCAGGGATAATTCCGCCTACTGAGCCCAAGCCCAGCCCATACTTAATTTTTAAAACGCGGGCTGAACTCGGGTTCTTAATTCTAGTTATATTTTTGAGTTTTATTGGGTTTTGAAGTCGGGCTCTCAATTTTTATTAGTGGGAGTAGCCTATATTTTGACAATAATATCAATATGTTGCCTTAGTAATAAATAAGTCCAAAACAAATCCTCATAACAACATTAATAATAACATTGCAAAACAACATAAAAAATTGTAGGTCTAACTCCATGCTCCTCTCAATCTCCATGCTGCTCAACATTCATCCTCCAATCTCCATGTTCCTCATTCCTACAAAAGGGATATGACAATATCAAATTATAGATAACTTGTTAAAAAAAAAAAAAAAAAAAAAAAAAAAAAAAAGCATGAAATATATAAATTATTTGTCAAAACTATCTCATATACACATAATTGATAATATTATCCCTTAATTTTGCTAGATGACTCTAAACCTGAAGCTATACACATAATTGATAAGCACCTAAGAAAATCACTTATTACGATCTCAGTTAAAGTTAAGCACCTAAGAACATACAATCTTAGTGATCTTTCTTTCTTTGCCAATTTAAAACTCCTAGAAAATCTTGGGTAAGTTTTTTAGAAATTTTTTTTGGCTCTCAGAGACCTGAAAAATAAATAATTAATTAATAAGTGCACTCAAAAATTTTCTCCTTTAATTGACAATTTTCTAAACATTTTTCTCTATATGGTTCCTGAAACATAAAAAATCTCAGAATGAAATTGCATAAGAGGATCCAATTTCATAAAAGTCATATATGGTTCCTGAAAACTACTTTATTTTCAGAATTTTACTGAGCTGTTGCCATACCAGACTTCTAGTCATAATAAGACCCCAGGAAACCATATTATTATTAAAAAACCTCAGTTGCCTCTACATCATCCATTGTTTATGAAATTGCATCAATGGATTCAACTCATTAAAACAAAAAATAAAAATAAATAAAAAATCTGCAATACCTACCGATGTGACAGCAGACGATGACGAAGGACGGCAGGACAGAGGACGACGACGATTAGGGGTTGGAGATCTGGATCTGGAAACTGAAAGATATGGGTTTTGATTTTTTGAACAATCTGAAATAAAAAAAATTACAAAATATGTATTACAGTCTTACAGCCTTGATTAGTTGATTTAGAAAAAAAATATATATATATTAAAACAAAACCCATACATACAAGTTAGCAGTTGGAGAGAGAGAGAGAGAGCTTTCTTATGACAATCTGAATTCGCTCTTTCTTCTCTCTTTCCTTGAATCAATCCATAGCTTGAGAGTTGAGAGACAGTCGGGCAGTGGCTGAAGCTCGCGAACGGCGAATCCGATCTGGAACAAAGGGCGATGGAAACTGAGAAGAGGGGAGGCGGACTTTTTTTTTTTGGAAAGTTAGGAGAGGCGGACTGAGAATGGGAGTAAAGGAAGTAAGGAACCTAGGGTTTCTATATAAAATATATATTGCCAAAAATATATATAAAATATAATTCTTTCTTTCCTGATTTTTATTTTCTCGTTTTTCTTAAGTTCCTTAATAATACAATAATAAGTTTTTTATTTTTATTGTATATATATATAATTATATATATAGCCAATGTTTCAATTTTGATTATTTTTTGTTGATATATGTTTTCATTGTGACATGCAATACTTGTTAGGAGATATTATATATTTATATATGACTATATGAGTCCTACTATTTGTCTCGATAAGTAAAAATTTACTACTTCACCTAGTTTATGTAATACCCCTAATTTTAAAAAGGATAAAATTGAATAAAATTAGAATTTCAATTATATTTATTACATTTTTTTTATGTGACTAGTTATTTAAGTGTGTAATTGTTTTACTTTGTTAATTGATTTAATTGTAGTTATGTATGTTTTGTTTGTTTAATGTTTAAATTGTTTTAAATTGAATATGTATTTATATATGTTTTTATTTGAATTAATGTTTAATTGTTTGTTTAATGTTTAAATTGTTTTAAATTGAATATGTATTTATATATGTTTTTATTTGGATTAATGTTAATTGAATTATTTGTAAATTTAAGTTTTATTGATTAATGGAAGTTGGGTTTGGATAGTAGTAATGGACTAACCGTTTGGGTCTCATGGATTATTCGGATAAGAGGGGGATGGGTACAGTATTACCCATGGAAGTATATACATGTATATTTGAGTATATCTGTATATAGGGTTAGTTTAATTGTTAGTATTTATTAATAATTAAACTGGTGTTATCAATCCTAATTTAATATGTATTATAGTTTTAGGGTTTTGTTTTATTCTCACGAGTTTTTCCTACTCCTTTCAGAATTTCAGAATTCTATTTAGGTTTTCCTTAAACCTCTATAAATACATCATTATATTTTCTTAGGGTTTTTTGGAAAAATAAACACAAACCCTATTTTCAAACCCTATTCACGTACAGTGAAAATACAGAGAGTTGTAGAGTGTAAACAGAGAGAGGGTTTGAGGAAAACAGAGTAACCTAGGTGAGGGTTTTGGTTGCGGTTTAGGGTTTGAACTTAGGGGAAGGGAAGGCTGAGCAGTAGAGGGTGGAGTTGACAGTACTCGGACATCGTCGGAAAGCTTAGGAGACGGCGACATGGTTTTGAATCTAAAACTGTAAAGGCAAGTTCTTTTCTTCCTCCTTCCCGTTGGCCTGTGTTCTGTGCACCTAGATATACTCTAGGGTTTTAATGGATCAATAATTGAATTAAGCATGTTTTTATATGTCAATTTAACCTTATCTTTGCCTTGAATAAATTCGGTGATGGGTTTTTGAAAGTTCATTACAGTAGTTGTTTTTCCTAAGCATGATTTGTCTGTGGAACTTGTAGTTTTTGTTTTTGATTTCAACTATTGTAAACACTCCATGGGGATTATACTGGACATAGTTAGGACCCTTGGGAACAGTCTAAAACTAAATAGAACGGGTGGGAAGCGGCCGGCGTTGAAGAAGAAGGTCGCAGAAGTCACAGACGGACAGACGGCTCTCAAGAGGGAGAGAGCTGGCTCTAGAAAGTCAAGAGCCATCTCCCCTTCAGCAAGAGCCAGCTCCTAGGGAATTGGAGCCGGCTGCAATAGGGGAAGAGCCGGCTCTTCCATTCCAAGAGCCGGCTCCAATTTGTTTTACGTCCAGAAGGTGTTTTCTAGGGCTCTGTTTGGTGTTTTGAGCACTGTTTGAGCTTTTGAGTGATTCTAATGAACTGTAGGGACTTAACAGAGGATCTAAGTAGTTAATTCTAAGTATTATTAAACTTATTGTTGCATAGTTTAAGTCTCTAAGACAAAGGATGTAGCAGTGTAAAAATATACAACGGTGTATGCTACTAACAGAAGAAAGGAACTAAATGGCTTGATTAAATTTTAGAAATTTAATGAGACTTCACGGAGGGATTAAATAGTTAATTTTTGGGTGTTATTAAGACCCTAAATTGATTTAAGGTTAATTCTAAATTAACGGATCAAACTGTATAACACTTATGTACATTGTATACGGTTAGTGGATAGATGAAGTTTTAATTACTTAAGCTTATTTTTAGGCATTCCAGTGGGATTTAATATATTTATAAAATGGTTTTAAATATATTATAGGGTCATTGATGTGTTAAATGTGATCTATGCAGGCTCTGGATGTTAGTTGTTGATTTATTAAATCATCTCCTGTAACTATATGGTTAATTGTTTGGATTTAAATTGCCGAAACACTTAAAAATCTTCTGTAATTATTTGGATATTGGTTTTGGATTTTAAATTATTGTACTATTATTTATAGCCTGTAATTTACATGGTTTTGGATTTAAGTTATTGGATTACTAAATACTATTCTGCAATGATATGGATGGTTGGTTTTGGACTATAAGTTACGTGCTTATTATTTATGCCTTGTAATTTACCTGGAATTATGTATTGGAACATAATTGCTGAATTCTTATACTTAATTCGGTCAATTATTTGGAATCATATATTGGATTATAATTGCTGAATTCTTATATTAAATTTGGCCAATTATTTGGAATTATGTATTAGATTTTAATTACTGAATTCTCACATTAAAATTCTGTCAATTATCTGGGTTTGGTTTTGCATTGTAAATTACTTGCTTATCATTTGAATGTTGTAATTTACATGGATATGGAGGATTGTATGCACCGGTATGGGACGGTAGCATACTAGGTATGGTTTAGCTCAAAATGCTAATTCCTACCTTATGGATTTTAATTGGTGAACAGCTTTGCCTGTTCTATCAATTATATGGATTTTATGGATTGTATGTACCGGTATGGGACGGTGACATACTAGGGACAGACTGATTCAAAATACTCAGTCCTACCTATTTTGGGAAGAAGGGTACGAATTATAAAAAACATAATTCTCCTCATATTTAAGTCTGTGCAGTTGAATAAACTAAACGACTTACTGGATCTCTTATATAAGTCTGTGCAGCGGAATAAGCTGAATGATTTATTGGAGTTCCTATGGATGGATTTGAATGGACTTTAAATATATGGTTATGGTACCACGAGATGAGCTTGAGTCTCAGACTCGTTGGTTAGGACGCGTATATGCAGTAGATGCGTAGCTAGCTATAGTAGGTTGAGGTGTACCCTGTTAGGTCTAGGTACTCATGCCCACCTTTGGGTGCGTTTTCGCATGTTACCTTCTATTCAGGTTGAGACCCCTATTGTAGTTCAGTGAATGTCCCATAGTGTGGATATATATATGTATGGACTAGATAGATATGGTTAGGTATCTATGGTGTATCTGCGTATCGGGTCACTGTATGGATTGCAGTTAGATTAGAACTTGCTCGTGGGCCTGACCCACTCTTCTATTATTCTTTACAGGTGTTCGTTAGTTCCAGGCTGCAGAGCTTGATCGTGCTGAGCAGATACAGTTGTTCACTCCACCGATGACATAGGAGTATATTTTGTGTGTAGACTTGGGTTTTGTTTTCCGTCTTTTGAGTTCAGTGGGTTATTTTAGGGGTCCACTAGATGGATTCCCAAGTTGTATTGGAGAACGATATGTGTTCGTGGTGAATCAGTTGTATCTGAATTATCTTATTTATCAATGGAGTTATTTTTCTGAGGTTTTCAAATATTGGATTACTCTTTTAGTTTTCATTTCAACAAATTTTATTTATCTCTTTTGATATAATTATTCTGTGTTCGATTATTGCTAATTGTTTTGATATCCTCGGGTAATCGGGCGTGGGCCTGGCCAACCCGCATCCGAAAATCTGGGGGTATTACAGTTTACGTGGCTATGCATGTGTCAAATATAATAAGAAAGTTATAATCTCCTTTCTAGATTTTATCTTAATCTAGTATCTTTATTGTCTATTAAAATTTCAATCACTATGTATATCATATATATATTTGTTTTATGTATACATTACATTGCATATCTGTAAAGACTCTTTATATATAATTAGATTGTGTATCCCTTTCATTTATATGTAAAAGATTGTGTTTTTTATCATTAATATACATCTATTACTTTGATAGGCATTGATATATATATTTGTTTTATGTATACTTAACATTGCATATCTGTAAGGACTTTTATATATAATTAGATTATGCATCCCTTTCTTTTATATGTAAAAGATTATGTCTTTTATCATTAATATACATCTATTACTTTGATAAGCATTGATATATATATTTGTTTTATGTATACATCACATTGCATATCTGTAAGGACTTTTATATATAATTAGATTGTGTATCCCTTTAGTTTATATTTTATATGTAAAAGATTGTGTCTTTGATCATTAATATACATCTATTACTTTGATAGGGCATTAGTAATTAAAACTAATGATCTATCTGATTATCTAACACTCATAAACAAAAAAACAAAAAGAGAAATTGAAAAAAAAAAATGCAAAGTATTGAAAAATTATAAAACATTGCAGTTTTTGTAGAGGAATTCCTCTAATAATTAGTCAATGATACAAGTCGGATATTAAAATTGTTAATAATATCACTTTCAGTAGAGGAATTCATCTAATAATGATTTATGAGTTAATAATTCCTATTTTGAAAAAAAAAATTGGTATTTTTTTATGGCCGTAAAAAGAAATAATTTATTTAATAGAAATAACTTTTTATTTTTTGGAAATTATCAAAAGAGATAATTTATTCAATACAGATAATTTTTTTTTTTAATCATCTTTTTTCATATATATATGTTTTTTGAATCTTGACAAAAGATATAATTTCTTCAATAAATAAAATTTTTTGAGGTGTTTTTCGTCCATTTTTTTAAATGTTTACTTTTATTTTTATTTTTTTTGTCCAGTCAAAAGAGGCAATTTATTCAACATATATATATATATATATATATATATATTTTGGTCCCGTAAAAAAAAATTATTTTATTTTTTTGTTTTATCAAAATAAACCTAAAATATTAAATATTAT